TGAATGAGAAACTAATTTGCTCTGTAAAGTTTCACCTAAAGCACAATTTAAAAAAAAATTTGAGTTCTGTTCTATATTTTGCATCCGTTCTATCAGAATCCATTTACTGTGTTCCTGATCAGAACAGTCAGTAGTGGTAGCCGGGCACCATCTAGTTCTTCTGGTCTCAGGGTAAATGAGGTCATGGTTTGTGCAGACTGTTAGTCCTGTGGACTAGTTTCTTCTCTGGGTCTTTGGTTTCCTTCATTCTCTTTTACTCTGGACATGTAGAGACCGATAGTTGTATCTTAGATGACTACTCGAAAGCTTTTAGGACCCTAGACACTACTCATCAAATTAGGATGTAGAACATAAACTTTACATACTATATTATGCCAGTTGACTGAGTTATCCCACTAGACTATGGTCCTAAGCCTTCAGACCCCATGAACCAATCCTGCGAGGTGTTTAGTAAGTATCTGTATTTGTGCCCTCTACAGATGATACCTTTTTGAAATAACCTCTATTCATCTTCCGGTTCCTCCCTCCCCCTCACCCCTACCCCTTGTAGTTGCCTCTGTTGTCTCTAGGCTTTGCCAAGTACATTTAAACCTCCGTGCCTGTACATGTGGCTTTGTGCAGCACGGGGCAGCAGCACCTTAGTCCACAAGCTCATGTACTCCAAGGGCTGCCTTGTGTTGTCTGCACAAGTGGGCATTCAGGGCACGGAGCACCAAAGCAACTCAGGCAACACCCAGTTCTTTATTGCCTCTCAAACCAATGTCAGAACTTAAAATACAGCCTATTCCTGCATGCTTAAATTACACACAGCTTGGTCTTGAAATTTAAGTGGACCATCCAGAAACATATCATTTCAGCTTTATCACGAAAATACAATAAAACCCCTGTCTGAAGCATAGCGGTCTTTTATTTGAATTAAAGAAGATCCAAAAAGCAGCGTTGGAACTACTGCTGCTCTCCCCAAATGGGCTTTGCTAATTTATTTAGATAGCTGTTGTTTAGTTCTAATGATGTATGATAATACTTTTATATTGTTCCAGTAAGTGTACTGTAATATATTTTGGAAACTTAATGAAGTCTTATTAATACAGAACCTTACTAGAGCTATCGGCTATTAAAATCTTTGCTGAGAAATGAGTGTTAATGAGAAATATTGGTTGGATAATTACTCAAGTGAGACTTAGTAAAAGGTTTGTGTGCAGCATTACTTGTATTGCGAATAGCATTAAACCGTTTCCTGTTATTTGGTGAATGATGTGTATATGTGTTTCTATGTGTTCAAAAAATAGTCTTCACGGTACTGGTTTTGTGAAACATTATTTTTAAAGAGAAGAGAAAATCCAAAATTGCATTTTAGTTTGTTTACATACTTAGCTATTGAATGAGGTAGTTTAACAATCATTCAAGCACTTCCATTCTCCAACATCATATTTCCCACAGTTCAAATAGCTCACTTTGGTATCTCCATTGAGCAAGGAGAGTCTGATAATGAGATGCATCTGTAATTCTCTCACCACCCTCCAACAAATAAATATCCTCTTTCAGAAATGCTAATCATAAATTAGACAAATATTGGTTTTTATTTATTTTTATTCATACCATTATACAATAAAATACTATTTGGCCATTTTAAAAATGATGATGTAAATCTGTAGTCATTAACGTGAAAAGATTGCCCTTGTCAGCTGAATGAAGAACAGTTGAATGAAAAAGCAAACTGTGAAACTGCCATTTAATATGAGCCTGCTTATATAATATCCCTTATATCTGCATCTCCTTTGTGTGTGTGTGACATATATATGTGAAAGGGTCTCTATCAAAATGTTAACAGTGGTTGTCTCTGGGAAGTGCGATTTCAGGGGATTTTTGCTTTCTTTCTTATGCTTCTCTTTACTCTTTGCATTTTCTACAGTGACCACGTATTATCTTTATAGTAAGGAAAAAACTTAATATAACCAAAAATTATAATTCCAAGTAGTTTCCATTTATTCAGGGCTCACGTTTCTCTCTAGCATAGTTGGCAGTCAGTCACTGGTCAAGAATACATTAATACTGAATAACAAAGTGGTTAATTCCTTCAGCGAGAGTTCTTTGGCTGAGCTCATTGGGAAAATTAATACTCACCCTTACTGTTTCAGATTCATCCCTAATTTGAAGAGGTTATAGGGAAAGGATAGTCCGAGGAGCAATGGATTATAGTTAACATGGTGCTCATCTTCATTCCAACACTATGCAACTATAATCACTATGTCCCTTACAGAATTTCACATTGCTCTATTCTAGGCAGGAGGCTGTTTGACCCTCCCAAAGGCATTTGTCAAAGTTGTAAGGGGAACCCAGAAACAAAAATAGATGCTTTCTTTTTTTGTTTAATCTTTCCATCTATAGCATTTCCATAAGGTATTTCCTCCCTGGCCCTGTTTAGCTCTTAGCCTACCTCTCCTGTGCCTGGCTAAATTTGAAGGGAAGAATTAAAAATAGGAAAGTGTCTGGGCATTTTGGATGCCCCTAGCATTTTGAGCCACCAGCAGAAATTAAGCTTCATTCATATTATCAGTGAAAATCCATAAAGAATGAAAAATACTTTGCAGTTATTTATCAACTGAGAAATTAGATTTTTAAGAAGCTCAGTATGCCTTTGATGCCAGTTAATTTTAACCAGGAATTTTCTGGATCATTTGGAGCTGTTCTGTAAAAGAACAAAATTATTACGTACTGTTCCTTTTTGTGGAAGTGAGAACTATCAAATGGAACTTACCATCATCGTTTATATTTAAACTATTTGGGAACCTCCAGAAAGCAATAAGGCATTGATTTTTTTTCCTTAATCTTTTATGGAGTTTTTGGGAAAAGGAAGAAGGAACGAAGCAAGGAAAGAGACTTTTGAAAGGACGACAGTAAGATACTGCCTGGTTTTCAGTGTTAACTGAACTTTAGCAGAAAGAGTTAACTATAACCATACATTTGGTTTTAAAATGTGACCTCGTACACTAGTGATTTTTTTTCACCTCTGTGTTGTGCTCGGCACTATTATTAATGCAGGAAAATCAGTAACATTAGTCATCTTAAAAGGGTTATTACTCAAGATGATTTAAATTGTGAAAATGTCAGTGGAGCCTGCACACACCATGCTAGAGATGCCATGATTTACGCCTGCTGACACCCTCCTGCTGCCGAGAAGGGCCCGGAGAAGGAATGGCTGATAGTTTGTCCTGATCCTAATGCAGAGCGTGATATCAGCAGTAACACATCTTAAACGTCCTAGGATTTGCCAAGGTTTCTTGTGTCAACCATTTGTGTACATGGGGTCATAATCTGCATGCTTTATGCAATTCCCTCAAATCTTCCCTGTTTAGGTGGAGGTTTTACTGGAGAGGGGAACTGGAAATGAAAATGAGTACAAAGAAAAAATATTATTTCCAAGATTCCTGTGCTAGTTTTCAGTATGCTTTCTGTGTAGTTTGTAATAACACAGGTGATGCTTGCTGAAACCATTTAAAGTAATGCTTAGAATCTAAAGGGTTCTTCAGACTCCATTGCTCAGATAACGTCCACTTAGGTAACATCCACGAGCCCTGGTGGCACAGTGGTTAAGAGCTCAGCTGCTGACCAAAAGGTCAGCAGTTCGAATCCACCAGTTACTCCTTGGAAAATCCAATGGGGCAGTTCTACTCTGTCCTATAGAGTTGCTATGACTCAGAATTGATTCGATGGCAATGAGTTGCTTTAGATAACATCCAAGATTCAGTACTTTGAAATGAATGTGTACTGTATTTTTATACAAATAACACGTGCCCTCTGAGTTTGTTTGCCAGCCACACCCTCCCCGCCACGTAAGCACTATGTTGTTTTTTTTTGTTTACAGCAACATGTGGAAGAGGATTGGCATGGCAGTACTTGTGAGGATGCCTCGAAGTGGGGAGGTCATGGCTGGCAAACAAACCCAGAGGATACGTGTTATTTGTGTAAAAATATGATAGTTGTTCATGATTTATAATTTTCATGCCATTTTTCCACAATTATGAACGGATTAAGAAAACTTAAAATAATTTTAAATTCAGAAAAGCTGCTAAACAGAAATACTGACTTATAAAAAATCATTGTCAATAAAGTGTTAAAAGTGTACTTAGCTCATCAAAACAATGAGTCACAAATAATGTTGAAATGCACTTCATTTGTGTTTCCCTTCAAAATAGACAAGAGCTTTCTAGGTACTAGATTGTTTAAAAGCAGGTGAGGAGTGAAGGGGTTGATAGATGGGGGTAAGTTTTAACCTCTGATCCAGTAACCGACCACTCTTAGCATTGTCGTTAAAGAACCAAAAAGTCTGTATTATTCAATGCCCTGGTGGCACAGTGGTTAAGTGTTTGGCTGCTAACTGAAAGGTCAGCAGTTTGAATCCACCAGCCACTTCTTGGAAACCCTGTGGGGCAGTTCTACATCCTGTAGGGTCTCTGTGAGTCAGAATTGACTTGACGGCAGCAGGGTTTCCTAATATTGTTGAATTAAACTGTTTTGTTAGCATCTACTGTTCAGCTCCCTTCTTAAAGATCGTCGTACTCTCCTGCTGTCGAATTCTTCCCACAAAGTCAAATTTCTCTGTATTTGTGCATCTACTGTAACAGCATCAGAACAATTTCAAGTACATCCTAAGGGACCCTTTGTTGTTGTTAGCTGCTGTTGAATCGGCCCCTGACTCATGTCAACCCCATGCACAATGGAACAAAACAGTGCTCGGTCCTGCACTATCCCCATGATGGGTTGCAGATCAGACTGTTGTGCTCCATAGGGTTTTCATTGGCTAATTTTCAGAAATAGATCACCAGGCCTTTCTTCCTAAACAACCCTCTAGGGGTTAAGAATAAAGTCTTAGTTGAGTCTGAATAATCACATAGAGGAGAAAGTGGCCGTAAGTGTATGTCACCTGAACCCCCCTGTGTTCATGGAAGGAAAATGGCTCTTTAAACACACATGTGCTGTCATCCCCTCTCTCCCTCCAGATGAATACCTCGCTCCTAGGAAGCATCGGCATGCTGAATTCGGCCCCTCAGCTGCGCTGTATCAAAACCTACCAGGTACCCCCCGTGCAGCCCGCCTCCCCCGGCTCCCACAACGCGCTCCGACTGGCCCGCCTCATCTGGACTTCCAACCGCAACGTCATCCTGATGGCCCATGACGGCAAGGAGCACCGCTTCGTAGTCTGAGACTCCCAGCCGGTGCTCTAACTACACTGGCGTGCTCTCAGTCCTCTGTCCTTCCTCACTCGAGCATGCCTCAGTGCCTGCCCACACCAGTGTCATCGGGTGTCGCCTCTGCATGGTTCTGGGGCAGACCCCACTCATGCCACCCATTGATTAGAGCATGCACACACAGCTCCGCCGGATGTGGCCGCCCTATCACTGGGTAGTTTTTCCCTGCCAGACATGGGAGGGGAAAGGCAGCGGTTCCTGGGAACACTCTTGTTGCTTGGTGCAACAGAAGCCTGGAAATCAATAAACACTGTGATTGCACTCTCAGCCCAGATCGGCATTTCCAGGGACCTAAACCCACCTCGGCAGTGCTGCTGGAACTGGCCTTTTGACGCTGGGCTTTGAGGTATTGTGGCGGCCCTAATTATCGAAGTTATTTTCCTTTGGCTTTCCTAAAGCATATTATTGTTTACCAACAAGATTCTGTGTTTATGTGTTGTTGTTGTTTTTTCCTTCCAAGGATTGCTAGGAAATTACTTAATCTAATTTCCTAGAGTTGAGCCACTACCTTCTTTATTGACACCGAACTGATTTGAGATTTGTGAGAAAATAGCAAAGAAAAACATTTTCCTTGCAGAGAATACAGTTGTCCAGACACCTAGCCTTCTAAAGTGCTCATATCCTGCTTAAGTTGATAGTGTATTTAGTAGTTTAAAATACAAATCATCACTTCATATGAACTAGATAATATAATTATCCAGTCAGTATAACTAATCTCTTAAGAAACTTTTGTGATAAAGAACCAAGTTTGGAAACATAGCATATACCTAAAAAGAAGGCTCTCGTATCTATTGCTACAGATGTTTTTGTTTAGGGTAGAGCGTACCCCCACTCCCTTCAGAAATTTTATGAGTCTGCAATCCCCATATGTATGACATATGTCAGTTATCATGTAATAATTACAAGTCAGCCTTCAAACTACTAGTGATCAATTAAAAGAAAACAAAGAAGGCATTTCTTTTAAACAACTGTCCTAGAAAATTAGTAAACGTGGCGTGAGCTCTGACGAATATATATAAAATGTGAGAGCTCTCAATCAATGTATTTGAATAAACATTGCAATGAGGGTGTTCATCATGCTTTGAAGTAAGCTTGAACTAGGTAACTGTTTTCTCATGTCAAATTATGCTGGGTCTTGCTCATAATAATGGGGAAAAAATCCATAAAATAATATTTTGTATGAATTGTTCCTAACAAACTTTAATCTGTATATAATTCGGGGATTTTGTTGGTTGGTTGGTTGTTGATTGGTTGGTTAGTTGGGCAAAATGGTTTATTAAATTCAAAATAGAAAAAATGATTTATTAAATTCAGAGAAAATATGCAAAGTTTACAGAGGAACCAAAATGATAATGGGAGTATTTAATTTTAAAAGCATAGCCTGTCAGAGTCTGTGTAATACACAAAAAAGCAGGGCCAGAGTCCAGGAACATCCATCTGTTATTTCACTGATGCAGATCTTTAAGGAAGATATTAAACAGTGAAGATCATTAGAACTCCTCTTTCGTATTGATGTGAAGTGTGCTATTTCCATTGGTGGCATATCTGTACTATTCCTTGGTTTTACACTTTGAGTGTTCTTTCAAAAGCGAATTTATGCCACATGCATGTACATTGTAATTATAAAGATCATATATGTAGTTTCCAAGGAAGAAGCAAAGAGCTATATAGTGTAAACTTTGTTTGGTGAACATGCTGTTGCGTTCGGTAGAGATGTAAAAACGTGTAGTAAAGGTGCACTTTGTTTTTCCAGTGGATTCCCCAAGTCTTCTCTGTACTCAGCACATGTTTACTTTATGAACCTAAACCAGAATTAATTTATTCTAGACTAGAAAGCTATTGTGGAATGATGAGATAAAAGTGTACCTTAGAGACTTTTTTTTTTAAACAAAATTTGCAGTGCATCAGGAAAACGTGTGGGAACGGAGGCCGGCCCCCACAAATATTCGGGTGAGATACCCCGGGGAGATTTAGAGCAAACCTGTGAGCCCCAGAGGAGCCAAACAGCCAGGTGATGGATGCAGGCCAGACAGGGTGACTGGCCAGTAGAACATTGTGACTGTGGGATTCTGGGGTGGGTGATATCTAATGGCTAGACAGACGTCTCTAGCTGCTAAACTAATATTTGCATTCTTGTTAACACAAATCTCTCCTTGGCAATTTTGACGACCACAGTCCCAAACTTCATCACAGCTTACATTTCTCAGCACTGAGGTAAACTTTGTACTGTCACCCCAGTGTCTGCTTTAAGTGTTTTATTGATTTTGTTGGCACTGTATTTGGACTTGTCCTTGTAAATGTAGAGACATATGCGGCTTAGTTGGTAATTCACAAGCAAAAGATGACATGACGTGACACCTGTATGAAAATGTTGTAATGATTGAAGTCACTGTGTACAGCAAGTGATTTAAAATGTCTGCCTCTCAAGACTTTTCTTGATTATTTCACTTAATAGACTCTGTATGTACTAAATGTCCCTGTGTACATATGTGTGTTAAATAAAAAAGAATTGTACTGAAGGCTGTTTTTCACATATGATTGCTTCTTCTGTTCATTCTTCTTTAACATTCTCAATCGAAGTCCACATGCTCTTTTCCCCTCTCTTTGGTACCAAATTAAAGCCTTCTATTTCTCTCTAATTATTCATTTTCCTGGAGACCTAGCTTCAAGAAAGGTAAGCTTGCTCACAAGGGACAGTAAAGAAGGAAGTCCCTCTCCTACACTGCAAAAGTGTGAGAACTAGATAGACTCTCCTACTGAAACTCAACAGCACCCTCTGTAGTTTGGGCAAGGGAATTGTACCCTAAGTTGCTCCTAAATAGACTGTTAATTGTACCAAATTATATCTTGTCAGATTTGATGACATAGGTCGACTGCCCCACGGGAGCTGGGTGAGATCATTAAATTCATTTCATTTAATACCCAGTTTGGAGTTGAATTTGAATCCCTGAGGTAAACGGTGTAATTGGTTTTCAGAAAGAGCAAGAATAACAAAATAGGTCATCATCGCTCACAGAGGGTTATGTGTAAGTAGGGAACGTATTTGTTTTAATTTTCAGATAAGAAGATTGAACAGCTTGAATTGAGTCAATCGTTAGGTCACAGTATAATGGTCTATAAGAGAAACATAAAGGAGTTGAATGCAGCAGCATTCTCGGCCCTAATCAAATGCCCAGAGCATCGGTCCAGGAATTGTTTTAATGTCTGGTGATGACTTAAATGTATCCTTATAGGAAAATAGGGGCAGTAACAGTTCTGTATGATTGGTGATCACATAAACTGATCAAATGTGGAAAGGGCATGACATTAATAGGAAGGTAAAGCCGAGCAGTGCTGGGTGAACTTTCACCTTTCACCCCTTCGGCTGACTGACAGAGCTGAGTGTTGAAGAAAATCAATACTTTGGAGCCAGGAGGGAAATATTTCCAGCCTCTAACTAGAGAATGTATTCTGACAAGGCCAAGATAATCCAAGCTGCACAGGAGAAAGAGAAAAGAAGACTAATTTTTAAAGCTTGACACTTCAAGGTGTTTTTGTACAATGGTTTAGAGATCGTCAATACATACAAATACCAAAGGTCAAAAAGAAAAGCCAGAAGAATTTCAAAAATTAGACGTTTAGTTCTTTTTGCTGTTTACAAACTAAAAAAGATTTCAGAAAGGCTTGTGCTTGTAATTTTTGTTTAAATGAACTGAACAATTGCGCATTCGAGATTATCATTGTTTTTAATCAAGCCTTTAAAAGGGGCATCATTATGAATGTTGAGTGCCCAAGAAGGTGTTCAGGCTTCTTGATTCTGTTGATTTTCTTGGACATAAGTTATATTTTGAGTGGTTATATCACATTATGCTAACATCTCAGAATTTTGTTTTGTGATTCATGTTTGCCCTGCCATGGTGACATCATAAATCTTAGACCCTCCTTCACATTTAGTTCAATTTTTGGCATAAGGAACACGTTGCTGCATCTTTGGAACTTGAATTACTTCTAGTTTCCATAGTCCCTTTAAGCAAATTACTTATAAGAGTCTATTCTAATTAGTGCCCTTCTAAGCGAAAGGCTTAAGCAATTCACTCCGTTCTTACCAGCAAGATTAGATCCATTCATTCTGTAGACAGATAACTCCATCAAACCGATATAGATTCTTTTCTCTCCTATAGATAAGAAAACCAAGAAGTCGAATGGCGCCCAAACCTTCCCGCCAAGCTCAGAAGGACAAAGGAATCCTGAGTACACTGTGGACCGAAAGTCACCACCTGTGTGCTTTCTCATGGACGTGATCATCAACAAACCTGCTATAAACATATAAGTATATGATTATTAATATGACAGTGAAAGTATAGCCTCCAATTATATGCCCTCTTTCTCATTTGAAAAAAAAAATCCACTCTATTCTGAGGAAGTAAGATATGGTTGGAAATTTTTAGTTTTAATTTGTTTCAGAAGGAAAACACTGGCAGCCAAGACACCTCAGTGCTCTGAGATTTCCCAGAAAAGACCAGGAATTCAGCACATGTCTGATTTGTAGTAGGTAGCCAGTATTTCTTGAATTTGTTAAACCCATGAGATTATGCATGTCAATACTTGGAAGACTGGCATGTAGTAAGCACTCGGTAAGTGTGAGCTAGGATTTTAGTAGGCATTTAGAAGTCCTTATGAGCATGGATACACAACATTATAAATGAATCTCTGTTCCTTGGAAAACATTGTTGGCTTTTTGTTTTGTGTTCTATCTGGACTCTAGTCACAGGTCTGGACACCTTACCCAGTGGAGAGTCCTTGTGCTTCTACCTGTATTCACCAGCCTCTTTGCCATGTTGCTATTTGTTGCCGTCTTCCTTTTCACCAAGATTTGTGGACACTGAAGAAATACAGAATATAGGTCAGTGGATGATGCTGGTTGGTTATGGCTTTTGAAGTTTTGACTGATTCCTAAGAAAGTCAGTCAATCACCCCATTAAATTAGGACTCACATTAGCACTGGGGGCGACTCTGAGTTATTTTTATGAGTATCTTCCAAATATACCTCTATCGAGATTGAACAAGATTTACTGAGTATTATAGAGCATATTTCATAGAATCACCAAAGCAAAAGAGACAGAATGTATAGGTTCTGTTACTGAATATCCTCTTGTTTTGACTAGTGTCAAAATAACTTAGTGCTTCAGTTTTCCCACATATGAAGTAGATTGTCTAAAATTTGACCAACCTTGTGACACTTTTTAAGTTTTAGTGAAAATGTAATCCATTGTAATGAAATGTCATTATTTAAGCAACAATCATTTATTAATGTTAGTATATGCCAAGCATATGTTCTGTATTCTATTTTCCTGCTGCTGCTGAGCTCACAATCTAGCAAAGAACCGCAACATGATGGAATAAGTGCTAAAAACAGATGTGGATAAGGAGCAATGAGAACACAGGGACTGGTTAATTCTGGTGAGGTAGAGTCATTAGGCTTCACGGAAAGGAGGCATTTGCACTGGGCCTTCAGGAATGAATAGAAGGTAATTAGGATGGAGAGGCTGTGATAGGTAGGAATTCTATGGACTTCCACGTTTTTATATGATCTGAATGGATATAAAACTACTTCAGACCTACAGCCTGAGAGCATGGGTAGGTACTACTGACAATCCAGACACCTCTTGCTTGCAGCTATTACTGCAAGAAAAGACTCTTGTGCCAAAGAACATGTGATATCTATAAGTCTAAAGTCCTAATAAACTATTTCTCCAGGCTTTTACTAGTTTTTAAAGTTTAATTTTCTTTTTCTTTTCTTTTCTTTTTTTTTTAAATCTCTTTTTGCTTTAAAAAATAAGTTACGCATTCTCCTTATCCTGAATTCTACTGTGTAGATAGCATGGTATACCAGATGCCTGCCACAGTGCATTACCCAGAACTGCTCCCTTCCACTCTACCCAAAGATTGAAACACTTATTCCCCCCACCTGCTGGGAGTGTTGAAGTCTAACAACTCCCTGCTGAGTCCTCTGAAGATCACTTCAGAACTAAAGAGATCCATTTTACCCCAGATCCTGCTCCCTTTGCTGTGGAAAACCACATCCAATGATGGGTAAGGGAGGAGGAATAAAAGCCCAGCCCCTGGCTTCATTTCAGAACTCTGAAGGTCATCGCAGCTCTAGAACTCCCCATAGGACCATCTGACTTCTCCCTCTGCCCACTCCTGATTCTTTCATTCCCTACAGGTATCGATCCTGAGAACATCGCCCCATAAACTTCTTATATGCAGCTCTCTGTCTCATAGCCTGTGTCCCAGGGAGCCCAATCTCTAAAAGTTGGTAACAAGAGTGCTCCAAAAAAGGCAGATTCTAAAAAGGAACTTAGGAACTGGGTCTCCCACTAGCCTCTGGCAGTAAGGATCCCATCACTAGTGGTAGGTTCATGGCAAGCCTCTGGCATGCAGGAGGTGTGAGATTGTTCAAACTTTTACTGGTGATGAATGGAGATGGCATACTGATGGAAGGGAGCCACAGGAGAGTGCAATGTATCAGGCATTTAAGAAGTAAGGGGAAGTAGAAATTATAAGGACAATGAAATTGGATGGCTGTTTCTGGGTGCACTGGAAAAAGACAATGAAAAGCAGAAGGTGATTAATCACCAATTAAAGGCTAACTGTGAAAGCCAGAGAGGCTTCTTAGCAGCATGTATGGAGAGCTTCATCTCCTGCAGTTGAAAAAAGGCTGAGGACTCGGGCTAGGACTTAATTATCAGAAGTAGAGCTCCAGGGGAGCATGAACTCTTTGCAGCTGAAGGGGTGCTACACCAGGGTTAGAGCCCTGACTGGGAAGGGATAGGACTATCCGGGTCAATGCACTTGAACAATCTTGAATCCCCAGACTCCTGTGAACCCTCTGGGGCTGTGTAAGGGCCCACTCCTCCTTCTTAAAAGCTAGTGCTCCTCCTTTTCGTTCTTTTTTTTTTTTTCTTTTATAGTACTTCAGGTGAAGGCTTACAGAACAAATAGTTTCTCATGACAGTAGTACACATATTGTTTTATGACATTGGTTAACAACCCC